CCCCAAAACCCCAAAACCCCAAAACCCCATTTGGAAAAATATTAGAAATCGGCTTGGTTAAAATAAATTCTTAAAGCTAGAGGTAATTAAATAAATGTATAGAAATCACTTCTTTAAATATCTCTTATTTAAATCGAACTTCGATGAGATTCCTAATATCAAATCACAAATTCCAAGGAAAGCAAAACATCCATTGAGTCCAATTATTTGTGATAAAAAGGCAAATACTGAGATATAAAGAAGTATTCCAATGTTTTAGAATAAGCCCATGAAACCAACCATGACTCCTCTCGATTATGTCCCTTAGTTTTTCTGGAATATCAAATCTCTTGCAATATTAGCCATTTTATTTCCAAGAGCCATAAGGACAATATTTGTTATTATAAGCTCTGTATTTTTGTTGTCAATAAACATTGGCATCATTAGGGAACAGCCTCTGAAAATTTACGCAAAAAATAGAAATATTCCTGGCTTTATTTTATCAAGCAGCTTTATTAATGGTATTTATATTAAGAAATTAAGAATACTTTAAAGGGAAAGTGCAAAAGCTAATAACTCAAAAGCCTATTTTTAATCAGTCATATTGGCTAAAACCCATAAACTATATGCATTTGCACCTAAAACAGTACCCATCCGTACTACAAAGTTTTACATTAAGCAAAAGAATAGTATTCTGTTCTTCTTACATTCTTAAACTCCTGCCTTGATATTACTCCAGTAACTGATTTCCGATTACTCAAGATGGTTTGAGAATCATTCCTACTTTGAATTTCCAATAAAAATTGCTAGTCTTAAGGCTCTTTCAGAGAAAGAAATAAGAAAACTCCAGTCAAGCACATAATTATTGCCATGATGTTATATGTAATTACTATGGAAGTGCGAGCCATAAAATTTAAGAACACAAACGGGGACAAGAAGCCTCCAATATATATAGAAAAGTTATTGTATATTACTGCTTTTCCAATACTTTCATTTTGCACATAGTCAGCTATCAGAGTATTGTTTAACATTGTATTAGTTAATACTGCTAGCATTATTCTAATTATTGCAAAATCAAGCCAGAGTATTGAGGTTTATGGAAGAATAGCACAAAGTATTCCTGTAAATATAAAAAGAATCGTCATCATCTTCCGCCTTCCTAGAAAGTCTAAGAGCCCTCCAAAAAAAGGACTCACTATTGCCAAAGTGATAATTGTGCTCATATAAATCATACTGCTAATTTTAATCAGATCTTAAACATCATTAAGATGGAATTGATTTTTTAGAACGATATTTGATGAATGGAAGAGGAATGGGACTATCAGATTACCCATTAAAGAAACAACATAAATACTTATTCCAGTTAACACCTAAACATGCTCTTTAAACTTTACTCCAAAAATACTGTTAGTTCAGCTAGGAATGATAATAGCAATTTTTTCTCCTGAAATTTGCTCAATATTATTAGCCTGTTTCTCATTAGTATTTACTCTATTTAAGAATGGTTGTTACTCTATTTCAAGAGGGCAAATAAGACTATGCTATGAACTGTTAGGGTCATTTGCAGTTTCCTGATTGATAATTAACATGAAAATTTTTTAAGAATAAATTTTAGATGATAATAATATG